TGGAGAAAATAGGGATATGAGGTGTTATTTCAGTAAAATGGATAAGACTTATTAAACTATATGTGGGGTAAGGAAGACTGAGGAGTCAAGGATCATTCCAATGTTGCAAACCTGGGTGACTGAAAGAATCCTCAACCTTAACAACAACAACAACAAAAGAGTAGTTTGGAAAAAGGCTGGGTTTGGAGAGAAAAAAATGTCTTTTTGGACATGTTGAATTTGAAATGCCTATGGGACATCCAGTTAAAAAATTCTAAGAGGCAGTTGGCAATATAGGTCTGGAGCTCAGGAAAGAGAGGTATGGGTATATAAATTTGGAAATCATTTGCATAGAGATGATAAATGAGGTTATGGGAGCTATTAAGGTCACAAAGAGAAGAGGTCCAGCAATGATCCTTTAGTATTCCCATGTTAGGAGCCAGGTTTTGGATGATGATCTACTAAAGAACACTAAGAAGGAGTATTCAAACAGGTAGGAGAACCAAGAGAGAACAATGGTCCCAACTCTCAGAGTAGAGGGAATATACAGAAGAAGTGGTCACCAGTGTCAGTTCTACAGGTGAGAAAAGGGAAACAGAGGTTGAGACTTGCCCAATGTCGCAGAGGACAAGACTAGAACCTAAATCTTCTGACTCTCAGTTCTCAGCTCCCTATCCATGATATCCCTCAGGTTCTTGGAAGGAAATAAATTTTAAAAAGCCTTCTGAAATGCTCCATATTAAAAAAAAAATGAACAAGAATTTTTTCAGCTGGTAAGATATCAGAAGTAGATGTTCACCAAAGTCTTTAAAACTATATGCATATTCTGATGATAGACTGAAGTATGGAACTCAAGGAGACCTCAAGGGGTTAACTTGCCCAGTGTTCTGCCTTCAAACATATGAATTACTATGTGGTCTGTTCTCCTGAACCTTTCCCAGGCTAAATCTTGGACCTGGAGAGATTATGAAATATGTTTCCTGCCTCTCTTAGGGGTGGGGAAGTACTTCCAAAAGTACTCTACTACATTTTTCAAGATATTTGGGTGTTTTCATATAAATGCAACTAGAGATGAGTGATGCTATGGACATCATATAAATAAATGAAATTATACATAGGAGTTATTAGAAAAAAGGTAATATGTTAAAAGGGGCAGTTGGCTGGCAAAGTGGATAGACCGCTGGGCCTGGAGTTAGGAAGACTCATTTTCCTGAGTTCAAATCTGGCCTCAAAGATCAACTAGCTGTGTGACCCTGGGCAAGTCACTTAACCCTGTTTGCCTCAGTTTCTTCATCTGTAAAATAAGCTGGAGAAGGAAATGGCAAACCGCTTCAGTATCTTTGCCAAGAAAACCCCAAATGGGGTCATGAAGAGTCAGACATGACTGAAGTAACTAAACAACAACAAAATCTTTTAAAAGAGAACTGTTCATCTTAAGAGAAATCTTAGTATTTATATCTAATATCTTGGAGTATGTTCACTTAGCATGGAAACATACAGTGTTAAGACCTCAGTTGTGTTATAAAAATTAAGAATATTGTATACTTCTTTGAAGTCCTGAAACTTTCTTGAATAGGAGACAATAAAAATTGGGACTGTACTTAATTCCTCAAATAAGGCAGAGATAATTGGTAGCTAGCCCAACAGAAGTTTACTAAGAGTGGGAGGGCCTTGCTTACCACTGGCTAAACTAAAAGGGAATATCTTTTTATTACTTAAACCAAGAGAGGCTTCCCTTTCCTATGCCATTGAAAAGATCAAAAGAATGAGTTTTCAGGAGCAGCTTTTAGAAGACATTTTCTCCAAGGGCATGTTCCTATTGAAGATGTACTCTTTTCCCTCTGGCTGTAAAATTTTTTCAAACTTTAATTCATTATTAGTATAAAATGTGAATACTTTCCCCAGAATGGGTAGAAGAGAACAATTTGTTTAGATGACCATGAAGGCAGCTGAAGTAGGTGAAGTGAAGGGTTTAGAGCTTGGTCAGGCATCAAAGACACCAAGATAATCCACTACATCCCGGGTTATCACCAGTCATCTGGTCTTTTGTTCCAGCACTGGACTTCAATGACTCAGGATGAGAGAATGAGGCTGACAGCTTGTGCAACTCTGCCTCCCTTAAATCCAATTCACTTGCAAGTCAAGACATCACCTATGATGTCATTGGCCGAACAACAACAAGGACAAACAAACCCATACCTCTCTTTCCTGAGCTCCAGACCTATATTGCCAACTGCCTCTTAGAATTTTTTAACTGGATGTCCCGTAGGCATTTCAAATTCAACATGTCCAAAAAGACATTTTTTTCTCTCCAAACCCAGCCTTTTTCCAAACTACTCTTCTGATTTTGCAGGGGAAAGTTTACAGGTCAGAACCTCTTTCCAAGGAGAAGTGTGGCACGTAGCCCAACCTATGTCCGAGGCAGGGTTGGAAGGTCCCTGGAAGGACAGCTAATAAGCATTAGATAATGTTTCTTGAGGTCGGGGTGGTTTTTGTTTTCGTCCTCTATATCCCCTCCACCAACCCTTTTTGGTATCCTAGTACTTGGCACAGTGCTTTAAAGGCACCTAGTAAGTGCTTAATAAATACTTGCTGATTGATTTACTTAAGTGTGTTTCCCTGAGGTGAGAGGGAGTTGAGACTTTATATTGAGAGACTTGTGAGCCCATAAGATTTTAGACACCAGAGAGCAGTTTGAGAAAGAAGGTGTGACCTTAGGAATGATTAACAGGAGTTCCTTAAGCCTCGGATAGCTGGGTAAAGCTGCCCCACCCCCCCCCCCCCCCCACCCCCCCCCCCACCCCCACCCCCACCCCCACCACGTTCCTTGATTACTACAGCTGGCAACCCCAGAGCCGACTTAGGGTGGAATTCTCCAGCAAGGTTGTTTTCTCTTTCAGTTGAACTGAGAATTTTATCTCACTCCTGAGTTGAACGAATGAATAAACCACTTATTAAATGCTTACTATATGTAAAGCACTGTGTTAAGTGCTGGAAATACAAATTGAAAAATAAAAAACAGTCCTTGTTTTCAAAGAGTTCACATTCTAATGGGGAAAATAACACATGGGGAAGGTAGTGATGCAAGTCAAATGGAAAGGTCCCATAGTCCTTAGGGTGCAGCAAAACAGAAGGTAATGCCTCTTTAGTGTCATTTCCACTGATAAAATCATATTCGTTTTTGCTGTTGGACTCTTTGATGGTGCCCAAGTCTTTGGTGGCAATAATGCGGTCTGAGAGGTTGAGACCCCTCAAAGACCAAAGTACAGGAAGGGGTCGTCTGGAATGAATTCACAAACTCGAGCATTCTTTAAGTCAAGTTGGCAAAAAGTTTATTGTTACGCTTTTAAGCGGGCAAGGATTCTTAAGGAACCTCCAACCTTAGAGGGGTACACTTAAAGTTTATATAAGATAAAATACAATAAAACACATGCCAAATATGCTAACTAGGTGATTCAGGGTGGGATTAGGGAGTGGTTAAGGAGTGGTCAGTTCTTAAAGGAACATGAACTTCTCATACCTACTGCACAGGCGTTTTACCCAGAGTTCACTAGGAAAAGTCCACAAGGGAGGCCACGTAGAGGTGTGGTTTTAGGCCTGCTACGTCACTAAGTTAACTTGAGTTCAGGGGTAACTGAGAGTTGTCCAGTCTGCCACCAGTCAATGTCTTGTTTGACAAGATAGATGTAGGGAGTATACATATGTCTTAAGTCTAGAATACAGATAATAAGGAGTCCAGGATGTAAATAATGAGGTAGGGTGGCAGCATAGATAGTCCAGTGAGTAAGAATATCTTTATGACCCAGTGCAAAGCAAGTTCAAACTAATAATTCTTTCAGGTACTATTTGTAACTGCACCAGGGACAGAGAGATAAGGGTCTTGCTGGGGACCACTCGGGTAATTGCTAAGCACAGAAACCGTCAGGGATAGTGTTTCTGAGGCTAGGGAGAAATTGAGGTCTAAGCACAAGCACCCCATCAGCAAGTACTTTCCTCTCTGGATCATCAGTGACCCTGTCAGCAGCATCTGCAGGAGCAGTTGCCAAGCTGCATTTCCATAGGGGCTGCTTCTTAGCGCTAGGGTGGAAGGAATGAATATCCCTCTTAATGACTGAGGATGGCTATTACAGGTTGTGTATATAATATGGATGTAAACTTGGTAACAGCATAGATAGTTTATTTCTATTATTCTGCAAATGCATATATGTGAGGGTTTATGTAAATGTAAGCTCCTAGAGGGTAAGGAAGGGGCAGCTAAGTGGTCCAGTGGATAAAGAGCTGGGCCTGGAGTTAGGAAGACCTGAATTCAAATATGAGCTCAGACACTCACTAGATGCACGACCCTAACCAAGTCACTTAACCTTCATCAGCTTTAATCCACTGGAGAAGGAAACCCCCTCTTATATCCTTGCCAAGAAAACCCCATATGGGGTCATGAAGAATCAGACTGACTAAACATAGAAGGAAGGTGCTATTTCATTTTGTCTTTGTAGTCCCAGCAGCTGGCACTGAAATGTTTGATTGAGGACAGGAAACTGAGACCTAGAGAGTGACTTGACCAAGGTCATGAAAAAGGTAGTTCTCGGACATCCTCACAGCCCAGAGCTCCTTCCCACAGCCGATTATTATTCAGTATTATTTTTCTCTCTCTGCCCAAGGTCCTTCCCTTGAGCTTGATAATAGCTGGCAAACAGCAGGGCAATTGTCTCTAGCGGATGGTGGTCACATATTTCCCCCTCCACTTCAGTTTGGGTAGAATCAGGTACAGCATAAGGAAAATTACTGACAGAGTGCAAGCTCCTCCAGGGCCAGGAAGTCTAAGGCTTCCTCTCCCACCCCCGGTCTAGAGGCGCAACAAAAAGCAGAGAGTCAGTCCACGCGCTACGCCTGGACACTGAGATTCATTCATCCCCAAGCTGCTTTCTCTTCAAGAGCTCCCCCGCCTCCTCCTCATTGGCGCTCCCGGTCACGTGGGCGACACAGCTCTCCCCGCCCCCTTCCGATGTCCCAGTAGCCCTTGCGCTCCAGCAGGTGGCCGCCTCTCCCAGAACGGGGCTATGGAGGTAACGCCAGGCGTTGGGCCTCCGCCGTTGGAGGAGCGGCAGCACCTACAGCAGGAGCTGAGCGACTTTGTGGAGACTTGCTACAAGACGCTGGAGGAGGTGACAGCTTCTCTAGGCTGGAGTCTCGACGAGCTGGATCCCGGGGAAGGAGACAGTGAGGAACAGGAGCAGGTTAAGGCACCGGTCGGCGGGCGGGGCGGGGGCGGGGCCCACTAGGTTAGTCCATCGACCTTCCGGGGGGGTAGGGGGTGGAGACTTCTCGTTTTATTCCCTGGGCTGCTCTACGTGTAGTAAAAATCTGAAACGTAAAGAGGAGGGAACGCAGGGGAATTTTGTCTTTGTATCCCTAACACCTAATACATAGGTGGCGTTTACTGAATGCCTGAATGAAATTAGTAAGTTGTCCTTCCTCCTTCCTTCAGTGGTCGGCGCCGCTCTGGTCGCGTGACCGGAAGAGCCAATGGGAATGGGGAAGTAGGGCGAGTGGGACTAGGTTGGTCTTGCTAGTGGGGTTTGAATATTTGGGCCGTTGGGCGAAGGTCTAGTTTTCCTGCGTCAGGGAATTACACTCGAAGCTCTCGCTACCCTATTCCATCATTGCCCTAGGGATGTGTAATAATAGCATTTTTATAGAGCTTAGAGTTTGCAAGGCGCATTACACGTGTCTTATTTTGCCCTCTCAGCAACCCTGTGAGATAGGTGCTGTTATTAACCGTTTTACGGTGTGAAAAAACTGAGGCCGAGGTAAAGGTGCACACAGCTAGTAAATGTATGAGTCAGGATTCGGACTCAGGGATCTGCTTCATTCTGAGGCCAGCCCTTTGGTCACTAGAAGAGTCAGTAGATCCGTTCCTTGGCATTCTGCAGGAGTTGTAGGGTTAAGAAAATGGAGTGAGGGGGAAATGAGGAACAAAAAAGAAATGCCAAAGGCTGCTCTTCTCTTTTACCATCCCTGTTAGGTTTCCCAAGATACAGTTGCTGTACAGAAAAATTCACAAAAGAGCACATGCTGGGTAGCCCTAGCTATGTCACCAGCAAGATGCCTGACTTTCGGCAAATCATTTAGCTTTACTGTGTGGACAGACTTGAGAGTGAAAGAGATCTGCATTTGAATTCAGACTCTCATCTGAATTCTCTGTTCAGCCACCAAAGTGAATTTCCCGAAATGGAGGTCTACCACATCACCCGCGATGCAGTAAACCCCAGTGGCTCCCTATCACCTCCAGGAGCAAAAACAAAATGCTCTGGCCTTCAAAGCAATTTGTAACCTAGTCCTCTCCGATATTTCGTCATCACATACGCTTGGATCCAGTGACCCTGGCCTCTTACCTGTTCCACAGACGCTCCATCTCTCAGGCCTCAACATCTTCTCTGGCTATCCCCCATGCTGGTAACACTCCCTCCTCCACTCTGACTCCTGACCTCCCTGGCTTCCTTTAAGTCCTAACTGAAATCCCACCTTTTACAGGAAGCATTTCATAAAAACCCCCTCCCTGTAATTCCAGTGCCTTCCCTCTGCTTATTTTTTTTTCCTGTTTATAGGGGAGAGGAGGTGGGGGATTGGAGGAGAGGCAGCTACAGGGCACCTGGAGTCAGGAAGACTCATCTTCCTAAGTTCAGATCTGGCCTCAGACACGCTGTGTAATTCTATGCAAGTCACTTAATCCTGTTTGCCTCAGTTTCCTCATCTGTCAAATGAGCTGGAGAAGGAAATGACAAACTACTCCAGTATCTTTGCCAAGAAAACCCTAAAATGGGGTCATAAAGTCAGACACAACTGAACAACAAATTTATCCTGTGTATAGCCTGCTTTGTAGATATTTCTTTGTTCAGTCTTCCCCATTAGATTGTAAGCTCCTTGAGGCCAGGGGCTTCTCTTGCCTCTTTTTTGTATCCCCAACACTTAACATAGTGCCTAGTGCATAGTAGGAATTTAATAAATGTTTATTGAATTGAATTGAACCTTAGCCAAGTTACTGAACCCTTCTGAACCTTGGTTCCCTAATCTGTGAAATAGAGATAAGACTGTTTGAAATATTTACCTCTTAGGATTGTGGAGAGGGTACTTTGCAAAACCTTGATGTGATAACTGAAGTGTGAGCTATTATTTCTGGTAACATTTGAAGAACCTGCTTCTTAGTGTTAAAGAAAAGTGTTCCATATATTTGGACTTCATGATGATGACTTGCTGGGTTTCCTTTAAATCACCTTCCCAGTACATTTAAAATTCTTGATTTACATACATCTTTTCATCTTTTTTATCAAGCAAAACTTGTAGTTTTATACTATATATGAAAAATATGGTAAAAGTTTTTCAATTGATTGTTACTATTTAGGGATGTCATTCTCTTTGTGAAGGAAAAGGAAATGATTTATTAATGTGAATGTCATTGAATGGTACCAAAGGAAAACATGTTTCCTATACCATTGTTAACCCCATATTATAATAGCAGACACTAACTTGTCTCTCTTGCAGTTCAGTGATTGTGTATGTTATGTTATCAGGTGCACTTGAGAGTTTCTGAGTTAACAGCTTTGGTGAATGATATCCTTTAATGATCCCTATCATAAGTATGGCCAGAAAAAATGGAATCATAGAATCATAGAATTTTTTAACTCAAAGGTTAAAAATCACCTGATTGAAATCTTTCAATTTATAAATTACGAAGCCGAGATTCAATTCACAGGTAGTGACAGAACTAGATCTAGAATCAAGGTTTGAGGACCCCCCAGGACTTTTCTCAATATCATAGTACCTTTCATTTTTCTGCTGGCATGTTTGACTTCCTGATATGGAAGTTTCCACTTAATCATGGTGGAAAAATTGTTGAGTCCCAGTGGACTATTCACATCCTGTGATGCTGTATATTAATCTGCAGATAAAATTTTTTATTAAAATTTATTATTCAAGAAAGTTAGCATGGTGTAGTAGACAGAGCACTAAAGGTCAGAAAACTTCCATTCTAGTCCAAGGTCTTCTACTAACTAGCTGCATGCTCTGGGACAAGTTGTTTAACTTTCATCTCTGAATTCTATGATTATAATTATTTTCTTTGCAGAATGAAACCGTGGTATGCCCATATGATCCTAATCATCACATGCCAAAGTCATCCTTGGTGAGGCACATGGCATCTTGTAGGCTCAGGAAATTGGATTATACAAAAGAAGAAGAGGTATCACATATATATGTATTCTAGGTAGTAGTCAATGTATTTCTTATATTTTAGTGTAGTATGAAATTCCAAATTCTTTATTTGTGAAAAAATGAAACTGTATTGTTGCATACAATTTTGTTGCAAACAATATTGTTGTTTGCTTGAGGCTTTAACTAAGAAATGTGGGATTTTTAGGTTGAGCTACTCATCTTTCATCTAATGATCAATTTGTATTTCAAAAATAATTTTGCAGTTTATTAGTAGTACCTTACTCCCATTCTTTATAGGATGATAATATTAATGCTTGCTCAATTCTCAGATTATTATAGAAAGATAATTTAATCACACCAAACTAACATTTGCATATTTATAAAAACTTTAATGTTAAAATTTCTGATACTCAAGAAAAGCATTTTTAAAAGGTTTTTTGTTTTGTTTTTTAATGTTTAGGCTGAAATGTATGATTCTGCTTTTTTCTATGGGAATGCAAAGATACCTGTAGTTCACCTGGGTAGGTATCAAGTCATCAGTTTGTTTTTAAAACAAAAATTCTATAATAATTTCCACATATTCCCTAGTAGAACACACTCTACTTCTAAGTATACCTAGCAAATAGAGAAGAAATCTTTTTCCCATATGGGAAAATGGAATGAATGAGTGAATGAATGAAGGGTGTACCTGATTCTTTAGTCCATGGTTTGGAGAACAGGTTCATATTTATTTATGGCAGATGCTTTATGTGGTTTGGAGACTATGCTTGTCCTTCCCGAGGAAAATAGGACCACAGCACTACCTGTGCATGTGACTGGGGTAACAAAGATTGTTAAACACATGTTCACAATTGTTCACTGGTATATATAGTTACTCTTGCAGCGTGTTTGATGGAACAGTTCCTTAAATGGTTTTCTAAGCTCTTGACCACTGATGTGACTGACTTTGTCACCATTCAAATTGAATGAACTTGAGAGAGAGAATTTTTGTCTTTGGCCTCTAGAGCGTCTGTTTGTCTCCATGTACTATAAATGGTAGAAGTAGAAAATGGGGAAGACTTCTAAAATAAAACTATGCTAAGTGTAGTATTTAATTTTTTAAAATTGCTATGTGAATTGTGGAATTGAGTTTTCAGCATAAGGAAGCTGGAGTACATTTCATAATTTTTATACCTCAGCATTAAGTAAGCTTTTTGACAAATCCTTTATGCCTTTTTGCAGATAAGAATTTACAGTTCCAGATACTTAAACAAGCTAGGGCTTCAAGTGGAAGAGATGGTGATGTTTATAGTCAAAGTAAGTGTCATACATGGTTTAAGTAAGCTACTGACAAATGAAATATTGTCATTAAAGTTTTTACTTGTATCATTTTGCCATGGGGGGGGCAACCAAGGTTTTTTTTTTTTTTTTTTTGGTACATGTAACCAAAATTGCAGTTTTCTTCAGGATAATCATGTGGAAAAAATATGAGATGAGCAAAGCATAAGTTTTAAGTTTCTGAAATGATAATCTTGGTTTCTGCTTCATTTTGTATCTGTGACCATCTTTAGTATAGCAGAGCCTCTCTCTAATACTATCCTAGGGAATTTACTGTCCTCTATATTTTATTTATTTATATAAATCAAATTTCATAAGCACCTGTTGTGAGTAGAGCACTTTTCAAAAATCTAGAGAAGATAGAGTCGGGTTTTTGTTTTATTTTTGAAGTAGGGGAACCACTTTCTGTGTGAGACTGCCTTGTAAGTAGGTGCTTTTTAGCTTATGAAATAACTCTTTTGGATGAGGTCCAAGATAAATTTGCATTATACTGAATTTCATTTTGGTGAATAGCCGAGGCATTCCTCTAAGACAGGAAAAGGTCAACATTCATAGCACTTTCCAACTCGTTTCTGCTGGCTTATTTCTTGATTGGCTCTCCTAGAACCACAGAGCTTATTTGGTTTGCTGTTATCAAAAGCATACTTCGTATCTGTGGGTGTACGAAATCAGGGTAGATAGCGGTCCATTTCAAATGCCATCTTTTCCTTGAAGCCTTTCCTGATTCTGTCTTTTACTTCCTCTTTGTCTCTTATGCTCCTATCACATTTCATTCTGCATTATACTATTGTATATTTGTATATGTATCATGTCCCCTCCAGTATAAGTGCTATGATGTCAGGGGCAGTGTGTTAGTTACTTTTTCCCTAGTGTATCTGACTCTTCCTAACCCCATTTGGGGTTTTCTTCGCAAGGATACTAGAGTGGTGTGCCATTTCTTTTTCCAGCTTATTTGACAGGTGAGGAAACTGAGGCAAACAGGGTTGAGTGACTTGCCCACACAGCTGGTGGTCACATGGCTAGTAATTGTCTGAGGCCATATTCGAACTCGGGTCTTCCTGACTCCAGGCCCAGCACTCTATTCACTGTGTCTCCAAGCTTGGTTTGTCCCCTTCTCCCGGTGGCAGGCTAAACAAAGATATTCAGCTCTATAACCTGACTTAGATTGAAGTTGGCCCTGCCTCTAGATTTGGTGGGGTTCATAGTCCTAACTAGAACTTGTTTCTAGTCTTATTTCCCAGTGTGAGTACTCCAGGCCTTTAGTACCAAACTGCACTGAATTTCAACCTGACAGTTGCTCTAGTCTTGCAAAGCTCTGTCCTGCCTGGTCCCTGGCTTCCTAGATGAGTAAAGCACTATTACTGTCTAACTTTTAAAGATTTTTTTCCTTTGTGCTTTAGGCCAACCTTTCCCTTTCCTAGAAGTTTCTAGGCCTCTGGGAATTGAACACTTACCCTGACCCATTTCTGTCTGACCGCCTCATTTTATCTGAATCATAGCCTCTAGTGGTACTGTCCCTTGATGATGCTTGGCTTCTTTACCTGTGATTCTAAGCTAGTCTTTCTTTCCTTAAGACCTGTCTATCCCATATCAGGTCAATCTGACAGCAGATTCTTCGTCTCTTCTTGTTTCAACACTCTAATCTTTTTTTTGGGCCACTAAGTTCCTGTTTCTTTCCTGTGTACAGGATGCCTCTAGCTCTCAGCTCATTTGCAGAGCAGATATATAACTGACATGAATGACCTCAGCAAGTGTCTCTTCTGGTACAGGTTATTAGCTTCTCTCAAATCCCTTATTTATTATCTAATGAGTCATTATTTCTATGACTCACTGCAGTTGGCCTTCCAGAGAATTTAATCATTATGGGCATTTAATACCAACATTTCTTAAGTGTACAGCAAAAATTGGAAATAATTTCCTTAATTTCTACTAAAGGAAAAGATACTCACTCAGAAGCAGACATGGGAACTAACTAGCTAACTAGTTAATTAATCAATTAGTTTAAGGCACAAAAGAGATTTCTGGTGGGGGTACTATGACATTCCTGACCGTTGGCTGTGGCTATGATAATCGCATTGTTAGGCAGTTGTCAGTGAAGTAAAAGTGTGGATAATCAGAGGCAGGAATCTTGGTTAAGACATCAAAATTAGCCTCTGTTGATGTGTTGAAAGTTGATTCCTTTAACTGTCAACATTTTAATTTATTGGCTAAAAGGTAAAGAGGTTTTAGGAAATTGATTTTACCTTAACTTTGAACTAGGTAACTTAAGTTGATTCCCATGTCTGGTTTTGTTATAAAATTCCAGTGCATTTGTTTTGAAAGGTTATGTACAGTTGTCTTTAAGATTTGTGAATGTCTTTTTAAAGTATTTTTGTATCTTTTCTCATAGGATCTTCATGGTGGGACCTTAGAGATAATTTAGTTTAGCCCCCTCATTTTATAGATGAGGAAAATAAGGGCCAGAGAGGTGAAAGCATTTGCCTCAAGTCACACAAGTAATAAGTCTTAGGATTTCAAATGCAGTAGTACCAGGAGTGGCATCATGAAATAATAGAGAGTGGCAGACTGAGAGTCAGGAGACTGGAGTCATATCCCGCTCTGATACTGAAGTAGCTTTGTAGCCATCCTAACTTCATTTAACCTCTCTGAGTTTCAGTTTTGTCATCGGGAAAATGAGGATAATAATACCTGTTACACCTGGTTATTCTGATGTTCAAATAAGGTGACATTTTAAAGCACTTTGCAGACTATAAACATGATATAAATTTTGGTACCTCACTTCCTCTGTGAAAGATCAGTAAAAATTAGATCTTTGGGTCTTTGTGAGGAAGAAAATTTAAATTATGCATAAGAAGATCTGTCTTAACTTGATAGAAGCCCCTTTAATAAAGACATATAAAGAATATAGAACCATAGGAAATATTTCAATACTAATGCTGTGTGGTAGTATCAGAGAATCTTTCATGAAATTTCTGAGAAGTAGATAGGAGAGAAGGTATTACACTTGTTTGACAGATGAAGAAATTAAGGGGCCAAGTGTTTAAATCATTTGTCAAAGGTTACATAATTAATTAACAGGCTGAGCTGTGATTAGAACCTAGTGTTTCTGACTCCCAGCCCACATTCTATGTCTAGGGTTTTGTGCTTCTCCCGAAAAGCGAGATGCCTTAGAGAAATTAATGACGTAGGATTCTTCACCTCTAGGTGTTGCTCTAACCTAACTATAATAATTCAATCATATTGACTTAAAATTCATGGAATTCTGTTAATCATCTACATGTGTTTATAGATATCACTTTAAACACATATTGGTGCTATTCATGCTTCAGGCTGTTTGTCATACATTTAATAAATAAGACTTTAAACAAAAGATTCTGTGTAAAAGTAAGACTGTAAGTGACAAATGATAGTGGCAGATTCTCTGTGCCATAGTTTTTCTACTTGTGCAATAAGAGGATTAGAAGAGATGATCTTTGAGCTTCCTCTGGCTCTACAATTCCCTATTTCCAGCAGCATTCTTATACTTGGCATATATAGTACTAATCATACTCTCTCACCATTGATTTGTATGTAGTTTAGTGGTATTTCTAAGGGCTTTTATTTAAATTCCCATTTGGCCCTCACAACAACCCTCTGAATAGGGCAGGTGGTATTATCTCCATTTTATAGATGACAAAACTGAAGCTAAATAGTAAAGGTTGAGATTAGTCCAGTGTGTAATATAGTGGAAAGAATATTGCTTTAGAGCCAGTGGGCCTGTATTTAAGTCTTGGCTCTACCATTTGGTATCTCCATGACTTTGAATATGTCACTTAACCCCTAATGGTGTCTCTTCCTCATCTGGAAAATAAGAGGGTTGGACTAGATGATCTCCAAAGTCCCTTTTAGTGCCAAATATTTGATTCTATGATCTTTATCCTATTTCTAATACATCATAATGTATTTTAATTATTAAACTATGTAGGATACTTAATTGTGCCATAATATTTTGGAAAAGAAGCTTGAGAATTGAATGCCAACTGTGGGTTAGTAAAAGAAAGTGAAAGGTAGACAGAAGCCACCCAAGTAAAACATTCGAGTGTAATATCCTATGTACTGTGATGTTACAATGGAAACATTATTTATCCATGTTATGCCTTTCTGTAGTGGCATTTCATATCAGAAATGTGGTGTGTTTATATGTAATACATTTTTATTAATTAAATGCAGTTTATAGTTAATAATTTTTCCCCCTTCTTCTCTTTCAGTAATTGGGGTGAGTATAAGGAGGAATTAGGAACATCATTGTACTCCCTATTAAAAGATTTGCAGTATCCTTTTTGCAGATATCCTTTCAAAAGTATAAACATGTTACTAAACTTTATTTTGATGGGCTGCAGAACATTGTATATTTAACTTGTCTTTTTTGTTTTGTTTTGTTTTATTTAATTCAGAGAAAAGGAAATATTAGCATTCTTTCCCCTACCCTGCTTTACTAGCTCAGTATGAAAGAAATTAAAGGGAAGTGTGTCATCCCTCTCCCTCCCCTCTTCCCAGCCACATTAAAGAGTAAATTGTGTTTCTGTTTTTAAGAATAGTGAACATATGGACAAAGCTGATTATAGAGTCAATAGTTAAGTTTTCTAGTATTTGTGTTACATTCCCCAAATTTTCATTGCCCATACCCTAAATGATTAGGTATTGGACTGAGCGGACTCATTTTTTAATTTTAATTTACACACACACACACACACACACACACACACACTCTTTATATACTTTAATCATGCTTACACAAAAGCATTCTTTTTTGTGCCTACTAGTAGTATACTATAGTTTATTGACTTAAAATAGAGAAAGCCTACTAAATCAAACCCTTGAGTAGTAGATATGGCTAGGGTACTGGTACAGGAGCCAAATGAGGAATTGTTTTCCAAATAACTTTTGTTTTAATTCGCCTACAAACTGGTGAACAAGTCATTCTAGATTATTTAATTCTT